TTGAATTGTTCTTCTGGTTGTCTTTTTAGCAAGGTTGTGTTCTATGAGGTGGGGATGCTGATGCCACGCCCGACCCTCCTCCTTTATCCGGACTTGAAATGAGAAGTAACCATATGAGATCTGCAAGCGAAGTTACATCCTTCAATATCAACTCGGATTTGACAAACTCAAATATTATGCTAACAAATGTATGCTTAGTCGATATAGAATCTCTAATCACCATCAAATATATATGTAGTAATATGGTCGTGAGGACTTTGGTAATTTCAATGAAGTTAACTAAATTCCTTTTTAGATATCAGTTAGAGAAAACTGAAATCTGAAAACACCATGCTGATTTTATTGAGAACAAGAACTGATCCAAATAAAAAACCGATAAATACCTGGAGTCACTAGACACCTATTACCCAATCTCAAAAACCTTCAATAATCGCCACAACTCCGGAGTTCTGTTGAGAAGTTGTGTGAAGCAGTTACTGATACAATAAATGATGATCACTTAATATCGTGGACTGATTGAAGTAAAACATGAACTCCACCGGATCCCGACTCAGCGATCTAATGTTAGAGCTCCGTACTCGATGTCCTGGGTCCGACTCCGGTGGCGGGATCATGGATGCACTATGCTGAGCAGTTGCGTACTAGGACAGAACAGCAGCCCAGTGCTTACAGCTTTTGAATGGTTGTCTAACTTAGATCCCTTCGCAGTCTGACTGAACAATAACATAATGATATAAATATAATCATTTGGCATCATATCATTACACAAACTTTTCTCTGCACAAAAATAATGTAAAGCTGTTTTCTGTTGGTTAGGGTACTATTGAACTTCGAACAAATAGCGTCTTGCTTGAGTGAAAGTAAGCAAAACTTTCAAAGATAACGTTTGTTTGTAACAAACAGAAAATATCGGTGAAATTGGATAGCAGCTAGTAATGAAATACAGAACATGCCTTTTTGTCCTAAATAAGATTCATCAGCTGAATGAACCTAGATTACAGTTTTGATTTTCACATTGAAACTCAATCCCAGTATCAATCAGTTAAAACGTCAAAGTGTTGCCCATTGAGTCATCACTAAATCCCCACTGTTTTGTTGCTAAATGCTAACGCTATTCCCGCGACGCTAATTAAAAACACTAAAGAGTAATAGAAATAAAGATTTACTGATATTCTAAAGCGCATCATTCTTAGCTAAAAACATACGCACTTAAATACTAATTCGTACACCCACCTAATGATGAACAAACAAGTATCACAAGTACAAATAATGCTCAAAATTATTAGAAAAATGCTTTCTTCATGACATATTAAGCGGAGTTCACATTATGTACAGGATTGAATGGTGGCTAGTAACCAAATTCCGAGACTCAAAAACATTGCCTTCTGCTTTAGACACCATAACATTATCCATTCAGCTACTGAGCTCAGATAGGCACTAAATTATGCAATGTGGAGTACAATGACAAATCTGAAGTAGGTGGAAATTAGGGTCATGGGTTCCTCTGCTAGCCACCATATAACTCTGCTTATAATGATTGTGACTTAATGGAGATACCAAGAAAATCTGCACAGGATAAATATATATACCAAAAAACACTGATCATTTACAGTCTTAAACATCATATCATAAACAGACTTATATCTCCACAAAGCCCCCTTCTGATTATCATCATATGCTCACTAGTGACTGACTTCAAGAGATATTTCCTAGAGTTCTAGTGGGAAGCAGTGACAAGTGGAGTTCAACCACGTCTGTTGTGAGATAAAAACTCACTGAAGACAATTGGTGATGGGTTGCTCAAACTTCGTGAATTGGTTGAAGTTAGATATTAATACCGTTGGATGCCGGCTCAGTGGTCTATCGGTTAAGTGCTCTGAAGCGAGACTTGTAGGTACTGGGTTCGAATCTCGTGAGGTGGTATCGTGGATGAGCACTGCTGAGGAGTCCCACAGTAGGACGAAACAGCCATCTAGTGCTTCCAGGTTTTCCACGGTGGTCTAGCTTTAATTGACCCATGGTTTCAAGTATGAGAATCTACATTCATTCAATAAAAAAATATTCATGTTAAATTAACATTATACTGAAAAGAAAATCAGTATTATACAAAGTAAATTCTTTCACTAAAAAACGAATATTATTCTGAGCAATAATGGTCACATGGGACTCGAACTGACCTTGAACAAACCACGCGGAGTCAAAATAATCAATGAAATCTATATTCGCCATACTAATTATTGACATTGAGCTAGAAACTAATCTATTGAAGTCATTTAAAAAACAAGGGAAAAATATGAACCTTTAAAATACAACAGGAAACATGTTTCCTCTATAAAGAATATTAAATTATAAACATATGATCTTGGTAAAAACAATAATCATTTTAATCAAAGGGGGGTTTTGTGGATATTGTAGTAATTTTAAAAATTGAATTTATAAGTCGATTGAATCTAGACCACCATGGAAAACCTGGAAGTACTGAACGGTCATTTCATCCTAGTATGAGACTCCTCAGCAGTGCACATCCATAATCGGTTGACGTTAGACATTAACACCGTTAGATGCCGGCTCAGTGATCCAGAGGTTAAGTTCTCGAGCACGGGTCTGATAGGTCCTGGATTCAAATCTCGCGAGGTGGTATCGTGGATGCGCACTAATGAGGAGTTCCGTACAATGACAGAAACCCAGATTATTAATCGCAAGATATACCACTGGGGTTATTTTTTAAAAACATGAAATCCAGGTTAAAAACCAACCATATATTAGCCTATTAGACAATAATACTGTAGTGATCGAGAACATTAGTGAAGACAATCGAATGTATTTCAACACAAAATTACAGAATTTCTTGGTAAAATCTGAAAACCGTACAATAAACACTTCATTTGCAAATGTTTCAGATGCGCTGATACGGCTGAGAATGGCGAGAGTCAGTCCCCTCTCCCTCTCGAAACGCTCTCACACGGCCACGTGTATACAGCCACTGTAAAGGAAGTCCTACTCACTGCCCTCTAGTAGCATTATTGTTGGTTACGAAATTGAGAATGTCCGATTCTTTAACCGGGTTGGTGGACACGGAGGGTTTACCTAGAGGAGCTCAAAAATCCTATTTCCAAACCAGTGGTGCATATGGGCTCCAGCATTCTGGGGAAAAATATGGCGTATGAACCAACTATTAGTTACCATGAGATTGCATCTCCTCACGTTGCTTCACTGCCTTGTGGATTAGACCTTCAGGTCGAAGTTTTCTGGGTGTGGCCTTCCAAGAAAATCACCCTCTTTGTTCTGTGCACTGGGGAAGTATCACAGCTCACGCACATGCGAATCAAGTGACTTGTGTGGCACACATTTATTCCGTTCTCTTTTGTATCAATATTTATGTGTTCAAATAAATAAATAAATGATGATTACAATAATAGTAATAATAATAATAATACATCTCAGACTTCATTGTTCCTTCATTTCCACACTAATCACTCTCTGTCCTCGTTCTCTTCTCTTCGATCCTCTTAACCTTCTGCTGCCAGGCATTTCACTTTCGATTGATGATACATAATACTTAAATCTGTCGACGTCAGTAGCACAATAGTCCTTAACTATATCTTGTTCAAGTATCTCTGAAGTCAGTCTAGTAATCAATAATTCTTAAGTATTTTGAAGAAATATGCATGCGATCCCGATTCAAAATTAACAAGCTGTAGTCTATCCCAGCACATATATATATATATATAGCACCCTTGGGAATGAGCATTGGATCCATGCAGTAGGATTTGTGCTGATATTCCAAAATGTACATGAAACCCATTTTTGTGTCTACGAGGATCCATGTGAGGCTTGATATGCACAAGGAGAAAATAGATCAATAGTTCTTATTATGGTAAAACCAAGTCAAAATTATAATACATTCCCGTCGACGATACGCATACACTATGTGCTGACAAGAATGAAGTTGAAATTTTGCATTTTCACCTAATAAGTGAACCATAATGTTGATTAAAGTAAAATCCTTAGGTTCAACTTAATATTGAAATCATAGTCCTCAGTGATTCAGTGTTTACATTAGAAATGGAAATAACTATTTAATTCTTAATGATTTTCACTACTTCTTTAGCTAATGCTACTCATTCAAATTACCATTGATATTGACTCATTGTATTAGATATAAGCATGTCTAATTTATAGAATCATCATAAAACAAGCTAATCTCATTCAACGTAATGATTTGTGATACCGCCCAACGTTTTCCACCCATTTTTATTCTATAGTATATACTACCTTAATTTTTAAGTTTTTCTTAATTGTTTGACTTGAATGAAAGTTTAATACCCCATTTTTTATGTCTTATTTTCTAGAATAACTCAGATTACAATAATGATATACTATTGACTCTATGGATTTATTTCATTTGAAATATAATTTCAAACTATTTCAGGTTTAAACAAAGATGGATAGTGGCTAGCAGTGGAATCCAGGACGCGCGTTTCGTCCTATTTGGGACACATCGGCTGGATGTACCTGCATTTCAGAGTACAGACTGACCAGATGCAGTCCTAATACATAAATGGGAAGATTCAAACAAACAATGCCAAGTGAATTTAAACTTTACCCCATTGCACAAGCAAGTGGCTATCAAGACTCAGTGGCCGAGTGGATAACGCGACGGCGTTTGAAGCGAACGGTACTGGGTTCAAGTCCCAGAGTGAACATCAGCTCTGAGATGCAGTTACATCTAGCTGGCGGGTCCCAAATAGGACGAAACGCGTGTCCTGGATTCCACCGCTAGCCACTAGCCATCTTTGCTTACCATGCTTGTGAATTTAGGCTATATCGAGGTAATACGCACAGTATGCATATATGCCAATTAGAGACTGACTAGTTGCAGTCCTAAAACATCAATGAAAGATTCAAACAAACAATAATAAGTATATTTTAGGTTTAAATCAGAAATGTTAGTACTCTACAATAGACAACTAAATGAAATGGAATTCAACACGCTATTTGCATGAAACAAAAGTCAAACTTAATGCATCAAATGAAACTTATTGTAATAAAAATCAATCAACCATGAAGTGTTTTTCGGGGTATACAGAAATTTTTTAGTATCTAGCTGCCTACATCGTGAAAAAACATTTCTCTTTGAGTTACCTGGAAGAGAAACTAGGTTTGGAATAGTCTTGAAAACTTGAGGGCTTAATTGAAGTGCTGTATAGTGTTAGTCACAATTAGCTTTTTCACGAATATTTTCAGATTATTTAGCTCCTTAGTCTTAAGGCCTTACTGTCAGAGATGGAAATTCATGTGGGAAGATCATATGGACTATTTTTAATATCAACTTCTTCTAACTCCTCACTATGTCACAGAAAATCCCTATCGTTGTAAATCCCGGTCGTCTTCGGCAAACAGCTTACTTTTGTCATAATCTTGTACAGTGGACAATAAGACTTTGCTCTCGTACTATTAGTTTATGGTTTTTAGTCTTACAGCTCTACAACTAACCTCTTATGGTAGGACCTAAAAATATGAATGTACCAGCAAATATAGGTTGACAAGTTTATCATGACACCCAAACCCCAATCAACACATCAGGGTACTACTACTACAGTCCGGCGATATAAAAATCACAAATATATTATATCCAGTTTAAACACACACAAAAACCCACATAAAATGGAAGAAAAACCAAAAAGCTGAATGAAAATATTGATTTGACAGTACAGTACAATAGTGTTCAAACTGAAGAAATTTTTTTCCGAATAATCACTGATCAATTACATTCGTTTTGCCATCATAATTATTAAAGTTATATTTACAGGTAGGTATGTAGGTAGGTTTATATATATATATATACTTAAAGATATGTGTAGTACGGATGATATTCGACTGAACTCGACCACAGATATCAGGAGATGTAGTGAGATAACTAGAGTCATTGAACTAATATCCAATATAAAGTATTACATCATTATTAAGCTGTAATTCAAATGAATGAATATTAAGGTTTGTCAAAATATCAGGAATCTTCTTCGGATCATAAATGCTAATGTCACTCTGGATTATGTAACACTGTCAATCATTTATATGAATATATATAAATATGTGTTTCTTCGGCTCTGAATTAAAAAAAGATATACAATAAAAAGTAATTTGAGCATTAGAAACTAACTTAGAAATATTTAGAATAATCTCTGTTAATAGGTAGTAGCTACAGTAAAACGATGAATTAGCTCCATTGAGGTTATCTTAATTATAGAGAATACAGTGGATAGATTGGATGTAACTAGATGATTTGAGCTTCGCAGATGAACTAGTTCTTCTATCTCAAGTACACTAAAGAATGTAGATGAAGACAACAACTGTAGCAGCAGCCTCTGTATCAGTTGGCCTCAATATATTACAAGGAAAACACTAAGATCCTCAATTACAACACAATCACACTTGATGACGAAACTCTGGAAGAGGTGGAAAATTTCACTTACCTGGGTAGCCTTATCAATGAACAAAGAGGATTTGATGCACACATAAAGGTAAGGATTGACAAAGCAAGAACAGTATTTCTACAGTTGAAGAACATATGGAACTCAAAATAACTGTCAACCAATATCAAAGTCACAATCTTCAATGCGAACTTCATGACATTTCTAATGCATGGAGCTGAAACAAGGAGAACTACTGCAACTATCATCAAAAAGGCACAAGTATTGATAAACAATTGTCTACGTAAGATGCTGAATGTCCATTAGCCGGATATCATCAGCAACATCCCATTATGGGAAACAACAAACCAGCTTCCAACTAAAGAAATTAAGAAAAGACGCTGGAATTCGATAGGATATATATTATGGAAATCACCAAACTGGATCATGAGGCAAGCTCTAGCTTGGAATCCTGTGAAGTTCGTACGGTTATTGAAGAGTTTTTAAAAGTCATGATAAAATTAGGAATATGTACTTGGCCATCGTGATTACAAGAATATGTTGAGTATTAATACTTTACAAGTATTTGAATAAGTTCAGTAATAAGGTTACCGCTTATTTACCATAAGTACAGTAAATAGGATAAGTACATCAACTCTTCACTTGTTTGAAATCAGTTTTAGAATTTTAACTTGTAGGAAGAGATGTGCGAAATAAGCAAGATGGCATACAGATATTCTGAAAGAATGAATTCTTGTAACTGACTATGTGATGAAAATATCCAGGAAAGGTACCCTAATTCTGTAAGATATGAGATTTGATCCATTTACAATCACTTAAATCATTGACATTCAAGATTTTCAACGTTTATTTTGAAACTGCAGTTATTGTTACCGGAGGTTTGTAGAGAATTTGATTATTATAATCCATTTTTTATTGGTTGTTTATATCGTCCTATTGATAATTAAGACTACAGTTGATCAGTCACTTATTGGCAGTTTTGTATCCTGTAAGGGATTGCCTCGATATTACTCAAGGTCATAGTCATTGTAAGATTAAATGGATAGTGGCTAGCAGTGGAACCCAAGATTCAAACATCATCAAATTTCTGACTCGCCAGGTAGATGTACTTGTATTCTAAAGCTGATGTGGCTATACCATTCTTGGAGAAAGAGGATTAAAGTTCAGCAGTCAGCATACTCCAATACTTATTGACTAGTGATAGTGTAAATTCATTCCACCAGAAAAACAAATATCCCAAGCCATTACATTTACAAGAACACTTTCTGTAAAATAACCCATCAAAATGTTTAGATTTTGATTTAAGAGTTGGGTTTTTTCTTATTTATTCAATAGTCTCTTATTTATTAAACTGAAAATTCATTCAGTAAATTTAAACTCTCGATTCATCTTCAAAGCAATCTTTAGAAACTTATAAGCAAAGATGGATAGTGGCTAGCAGTGGAATCCAGAACTCACGTTTCGTCCTGTTTGGGACTCGTCAGCTATGTATACCTGCATCTCCGAGTCTATGTTCACTCTGGGACTCGAACCCAGTACCGTTCGCTTCAAACGCCATCGGGTTATCCAATTAACTACTTAGTCGTGATCGCACTGCTAGCCATTATCCATATTTGCTTATGATACTTGTGAATTAAGGCTACATCGAGGCGATACGCACAGTATGCACATATAGCCAATAAAAGACTAGTCAATCGCAGTCCTAAACGTCAATGGGAAGATTCAACCAAACAATACCACGTGAATTTGATATTTAGAAACGTTCACTTTGGTATGCTTCAAACTAAGAATAACGTTTATTTTTTTGTTTTTAGTTACAAGTTACTTACGAGTAGCTAACAAAGGTTTACATTTTATCATATTATTGAATACAATGGATAAGTAAAAACATGTAAAATACTATGTAGATGTATCTCATAAACAAACAGTTTGACCAAAAGGTAATGGTTACCAATAAAATAACACTAGATGATTGTCACGAAATCTTGCTATGACCATTTGAAAAGGATTGAAGATGTTTATTTCCTAAAAGACTACTTACTTACGCCTGTTACTCCCAAAGGAGCATAGGCCGCCGATCAGCATTGTCCAACCCAATCTGTCCTGGGCCTCCCTTTTTAGTTCTATCCAGTTGCCGTTCATTCTTCTCATGTCTGTCTCCGTTTCTCGAAGTAATGTGTTCTTTGGTCTTCCTCTTCTCCTTTGGCTTTCAGGATTCCATGTGAGGGCTTGTCTTGTGACGCAATTGGGTGATTTCCTCCATCTGTGTCCTATCCACTTTCAGCGCTTCTACCTGATTTCTTCCTCCACTAAAATCTGGTTTGTTCTCTCCCACAGTAGAATGCTGCTGATAGTGTCTGGTCAACGGATCCAAATTATCTTGCGTAGACAACTGTTAATAGACATTTGTATCTTCTGGATGATGGCTTTCGTAGTCCTCCACGTCTCCACCCCATACAGTAGAACTGTCTTGACATTTGTATTGAAAATTCTGATCTTGGTACTGTTTGATAACTGTTCTGAGTTCCAGATGTTCTTCAACTGTAAATGTGCTTCTCTTGATTTGTCGATCCATTCCTTCACATCTGCATCAGATCCACGGTGTTCAACTCAAAGACTAGACAAGCATGAAATTTAATAGTTGAGTTCATAAATCAATTGAAGGTAGACCACCATGAAAAACCTAAAAGCATTAGACGTTCTAGTGTGAGATTCCTCAACAATGAACTTCAATCGACTCATGAACTCATCCATTAAATTACTATAATATCTACAAAACCCCTTTCTGAATTGTTGATCATCATTCAGTGATCAGTCAAGTATAACCAGTGATTAATTACATTGACTCCTTGTTGTTTTTTATTAAAATTTGACAACAGACGATTTTAACTTATACTTGCAATTTTTAATTAATCCAAAGATGTTGATGATTGGTATATTGTCTTTGGTTATACGATGGAACTGGCTTCCAATCCTCTTCCCTAGTGATAACACTTCCTTATAAGATATACTTTCATAACTATCATAAAATAGTTACACATAATAAAAACAATAGTTAATAACATACCAAGTAAATTACCACAATCTTGTATGACAGTTATGATTACGTACAGCATTTATATAAGAATAAGTTTGCTTAGAACGATTTTGTAACTCAAATGAACGATAATTGAACATGCCTGAGTCCGTCATAATCGAATTATTTGATTTCTTTTGTATTGTAGATCTAAAATTAAATAGATTATTGTTATTCATAATTGAAACATAATCTATATGACAACAAAATAGTATATGAAATCTGAATCTTGTTACGAATTCCATGAAGAAAAAAAAAGATCCTGTAAGAACACAGTAAAAGGATGAGCTTAAAATAGTTGAAAGTATGAGTCATTTGAAGATAGACCACCAAGGGAAACCTGGAAGCATTGGACGGTCGTTTCGTCCTATTGTAGGACTAATCAGCAGTGCGCATCCACAACCTTGCCTTGTGAGATTCGAACCCAGGACCTACCGGTCTCGCTCTAGAGCACTTAACCGACAGACCACTGAGCCAGCATCCGGTGGTATTTATTTCTAACCTCAACTTTCTAACCTAGATGAATATTCACTAGTTGCTAGTCAATTAGAAAAAGCTTTATAAAAAATAAGTAGCTTGTAAACAACAAAAAGGGAGTAAAAAGAATTTATCAGGAGGGGTTTTGTGGATATTATAGTAATTTCATTAGTTGACATCATGAATCAATTGAAGCTAGACCACCATGAAAAATCTGGAAGCACTGAACGGCCGTTTCGTCCTATTATGGGACTCCTCAGCAGTGCTCATCCATGATCTCGCCTCGCGAGATTCGAACCCAGGATCTATCAATTTCGTGCGCTAGTGCTTGACCACCAGACCACTAGAATGTACATAGATATTAGAGTCTGATACATGTTATTCCATCTGCAAATTTAAAAAACAATGACATAGCATGTTGTTAAAATGGATATAGTGTATCTGTTTTCTAAAACTTTTACGAGAATTCAAACGGATTTTTGGAAATCCGTAAATTACTACTGCTTAATGTTAAGGATACATGTTTAGGATGAGAGCTTAAAAGTTATGTATATAGGGTGTTTAAGGTAAGAGTAAAATTTAAGATTAGGAATTTAGTGGTTCAGAATTGGTCTAGGATTAAAGGCCCAAGGTCAGGGTATGGGTCATAATTAGAGTACAAGGTTAAAATTTGGGGATAGGGTTGACTTTTATGTTCTATACAATCTAATTTTATGAATTATATGATACGTTTAATGCTATCACTTTTGTTGTATGATGGAAAAAAAATACCATCGGATGGGGCCTCGGTGGTCTGGCACGAGACTGATAGGTCTTGGGTTGCGCACTGCTGAGGAGTCACACAGTAGGACGAGAGGGCCGTTCAATGCTTCCAGGTTTTCCTTCGTGGTCTAGCTTCTATTGACTCATGCTTTCAACTTCTTTACTGTTTTAGACATTTCGAATACTATACAACCGTATTTCTATAAAATCAAAATTATTCACTTTTAAATTCAGCAAAAAAACTTTCACAACGTTTTTTCTTAATCCTGTTTACTTCAAAAAATAGGATCACTTTATGATTGTCAGATAGTACTATATCATCGTATCTTGACAATACTAGCTTTTCAAATAATTTTCAGTAAATATGAGTAGCTATCGAGATAAACGTATTGACTATTTGAAATGAAAGGAAGTGAGATTTGAATCTCAGAATGACCATCAAGTGCATTCAGCTGATAAGTCTTAAGTGTGATGAAACATTCATTGTTTGTTTCCAACGATAATATGACAGTTGTAAACTACCGATTTCTTTTAATTCAATGCAATAAGTTATCTTTTTGAAGTATATATACTGGTGAAGCGTCAATCTTAATGATCGGTAATCAGAATTTAAAAATGTTTTAAAGCATTAATGACTCCAGTAAACTCTTTCTTTAAAAAAAGTAAATTTTTTTAAACATGAATTAGTATACTACACTCAGTCCCCGCTTGCGTTCTAAACATAAGCCGTGACCAGTGGAGTTCAAACCGTGTCCTTTAAAGACTGATATTTTTCTCAGGCAATGAATGAATGTTTGCGCAGTCACGGATCACTGGAAGCCAGACGTTAACACCGTTGGATGCCAGCTCAGTGATCTAGAGGTTGTGTTCACATGCGAAACCGAAGGTTCTGGGTTCGAATCCCTCGTAAGGGATCGTAGACGCATTTCTGAGGAGTCCGATAGTAGGATAAAACGGCCGTTCAATGCTTCCAGGTTTTCAATCGTAGTCTAACTTACACCGACTCATGAATTCAACCTTTAAGATATATAAGTAATATTTTCAATAGTCAACTGGTAAACATTATTGTACATGTGATCTTGATCATACACAATTAAAACGTACACTTGTTTCACCCACTAATGTAAAGGTACACTAATGATTTCACACATGATATACTATTTCATAATGAAATTTCCTTCTTATTATTGCTCATATGCTTGGAACATACTAATACATAAAAGCATTTTAGAAATTTTGTTGTTAAGATAGAAATGGTACTTACTTACTTACTTACTTACTTACTTACTTACTTACTTACTTACTTACTTACTTACTAACTTACTTACTTACTTACTTACTTACTTACTTACTCACTTACTTACTTACTTACTTACTTACTTATTTACTTACTTACTTACTTACTTACTTACTTACTTACTAACTTACCTACTTACTTACTTACTTACTTACTTACTTACTTACTTACTTACTTACTTACTTACTTACTTACTCACTTACTTACTTACTTACTTACTTATTTACTTACTTACTTACTTACTTACTTACTTACTTACTTACTTACCTACTTACTTACTTACTTACTTACTTACTTACTAACTTACCTACTTACTTACTTACTTACTTACTTACTTACTTATTTACTTACTTACTTACTTACTTACTTACTTACTTACTTACTTACTTACTTACTTACTTACTTACTTACTTACTTACTTACTTACTTACTTACTTACTTACTTACTTACTTACTTACTTACTTACTTACTTACTTACTTACTTACTTACTTACTTACTTACTTACTTACTTACTTACTTACTTACTTACTTACTTACTTACTTACTTACTTACTTACTTACTTACTTACTTACTTACTTACTTACTTACTTACTTACTTACTTACTTACTTACTTACTTACTTACTTACTTACTTACTTACTTACTTACTTACTTACTTACTTACTTACTTACTTACTTACTTACTTACTTATTTACTTACTTACTTACTTACTTACTTACTTACTTACTTACTTACTTACTTACTTACTTACTTACTTACTTACTTACTTACTTACTTACTTACTTACTTACTTACTTACTTACTTACTTACTTACTTACTTACTTACTTACTTACTTACTTACTTACTTACTTACTTACTTACGCCTGTTACCCCTCGTCGAGGAGCATAGGCCGCTCACCAGCATTCTCCATCCAACTCTGTCCTGAGCCTTCCTTTCCAGTTCTTTCCAGTTACTATTCAGCCTTTTCATATCGGCTTCTATTTCCCGGCGTAGTGTGTTCTCTGGCCTTCCTCTTTTCCGCTTCTCTTCCGGATTCCAAGTTAGGAATTGAGTCGTGATACACATTGGTAATTTCCTTAATGTATGTCCGATCCACTTCCAACGTCTTTTCCTAATTTCCTCTTCAGTCGGAAGCTCGTTTGTCCTCTCCCATAAAACGCTGTTGCTGATAGTATCCGGCCAGTGGATGTTGAGTATTTTGCGTAGACAACTGTTTATAAATACTTGCACCTTCCTGATGATGGCCGTAGTAGTTCTCCACGTTTCAGCTCCATACAATAGGACTGTCTTGACGTTCGTATTGAAGATTCTGACCTTGAAATTAGTTGAGAGTTGTTTTGAGTTCCATATGTTCTTCAATTGTAGAAATGCTGCCCTTGCTTTTCCAATCCGCGCCTTTACATCTGCATCCGATCCTCCTTGTTTATCAACGATGCTCCCCAGGTACTTGAATGTTTCCACCTCTTCCAGAGTTTCGCCATCAAGTGTGATTGGGTTGGTGTTCTCCGTGTTGCATTTGAGAATCTCGCTTTTTCCTTTGTGAATGTGGAGACCTATCGATGCGGAGGCTGCTGCTACATTTGCTGTCTTCATCTGCATTTGGTCGTGTGTATGAGAGAGGAGGGCTAGGTCATCTGCGAAGTCCAAATCATCTAATTGATTCTGAGCTGTCCATTGTATTTCGTATTTCCCTTCACATGTCGAATTCTTCATAATCCAGTCAATCACTACAAGGAAGAGGAATGAGGAGAGTAGACAGCCTTGTCTGACTCCGGTCCTTACTGGAAATGCATCTGTTAGCTGTCCTCCATGCACCACTTTGCACTGTAGTCCATCGTATGAGTTTTGGATAATGTTGACGATCTTCTGAGGAACTCCATAGTGTCGAAGAAGTTTCCATAATGTTCTCCTGTCCACGCTGTCAAACGCCTTCTCATAGTCGATGAAGTTGACGTATAGTGATGAGTTCCACTCAACTGATTGTTCAACGATGATCCGTAGTGTCGCATTCTGGTCTGTGCACGACCAATCCTTACGGAATCCAGCCTGATGTTCCCTTAGTTCGGCGTCTACTGCGTCTTTCATCCGATTCAGCAGCACTCTGTTGAAAACTTTTCCTGGTACTGATAACAAACTGATACCTCTGTAGTTCTCGCATTTGCTCAGATCTCCTTTCTTTGGTATCTTGATGAAATATCCGTGTTTGAAGTCTGTTGGCACTTGTTCCTCTTCCCAAATCTTTTTGAATAGAAGGTGAAGCATGTTTGCAGTTAATCTAATGTCTGACTTCAGTGCTTCTGCTGGTATATTGTCAGGTCCTGCCGCCTTCCCACTTTTGATTTGTCTGATGGCCATCTTGACTTCTTCGATCGTTGGTGGAGTGACATCTATTGGAAGGACTGTGTGGGCTGCTTCGATGTTCGGTGGATTCAATGGGGCTGGTCTATTCAGCAGTTCCTCGAAGTGTTCTGCCCATCTTTTCCTCTGTTCTTGAATCTCAGTGATTGTCTTTCCTTCTTTGTCCTTGACTGGTCTCTCTGGTTTGCTATATCTCCCTGCCAATTTCTTCGTTGTATCATATAGTTGTCTCATATTCCCTTCTTTTGCAGCTTTTTCCGCCGTCGTTGCTAGTTCTCCCATGTATTTCTGCTTGTCGGCTTTATTGCTTTTCTTCACTTCCCTGTTTGCTTCTGCGTAGTCTGCTTGTGCTTTGACTTTCTCTGCTCGTGTTCGGCTGTTGTTAATTGTTAGTCTCTTGTTCTTCCTTTCTTCAATTTTGTCCAGGGTTCCCAGAGAGATCCATTCCTTGTGATGATGCTTCTTAGGACCAAGAACCTCCTGACACGTCGAAGTTAGTGCTTCTTTTATCCCCTTCCAGTTGTCCTCCAAGGTAGTTTCTTGTTCATTCAGTAGATCCTATAGAGCTTGGAACCTATTGTTGAGAGTTATCTTGAATTCTTGGAGCTTGTCAGCATCTCGAAGGAAGGCTATATTAAATCTTTGTAGTGCTGTTTGTCCAGTTGTCCTGATGTCTTAAGCTTCAGTCTCATCTTGGCCACTACCAGGTGGTGATCTGAAGCTATGTCAGCTCCTCTCCGGGTTCTTACATCTTCCATTGATCTTCGGAATTTTTTGTTGATACAGATGTGATCTATCTGGTTCTCTGTGATATGGTCCGGTGAGATCCATGTAGCTTTGTGTATGCGTTTGTGTGGGAATATTGTGCCGCCTATAACCAATTTGTTGAAAGCACATAAGTTTGCAAGTCTCTCCCCATTTTCATTTCTCTCTCCTAGTCCGTGTCTTCCGATTATATCTTCATATCCTGTGTTGTCCACTCCAACTTTAGCATTTAGGTCTCCCATCAGGATGGTGAGGCCCTTTCTTGAGCACTTTGCTACAATTGATTGCAGCCTTTCATAGAACTGATCTTTATCATCGTCGTTGCTATCATTGGTGGGTGCATAACATTGGATAACGTTCATTGTGATCCCTTGCTTCTTTGTTCTGAATGATGCTTTGATTATCCCGGGTTCATGAGATTCCCATCCCACAAGTACATTTCTTGCTTCTTTGGACAGCATTAGAGCAACTCCCTGAGAGTGTGGAGCATTTTCCCCTTCGTGACCGGAGTACAGCAGCATCTCTCCTGTACCTAGCCTTTGTTGTCCAGTTTGTGTCCAATGGGTTTCGCTGATTCAGAGTACTGCCAAGTTGTATCTCCTCATTTCCATTGCTATTTGGCTGGTCTTTCCTGTTTCCCACATTGTCCGGACGTTCCATGTACCTATAAAGAATGTTGCTCTGGTTGTTAGAAGGTGCATCGGTCTCGTGACTTCCGAAGAATTTCGGCTTTCATCATGAGACGTCATAATTATTCCTTCAACTTCCCGGGCAGAGTTTAAATGGTTTGAATTATTTTTTCTGGTTAGCGTTTTTTTAGCAAGTTAGCTTTTCTACGGGATGGGGTCGCTAACCCCATGCCCAACCCTCCTCTTTTACCCGGTCTTGGGACCGGCAGTAACTCTAGAAGAGCTACAGGCGGAGTTAAGATAGAAATGGTACTTTTTAAATATTCATATGTTTGATAAGTAGTGAACTCCTGGTAGAGATTAAAAATCCGTATTAATTGAGGATTTTATGCTTTATTAATAATAACCTATGAGGTGTCAAAGAGAAGATAAAGATTAACAATATCTGATTCTGAACTATGGCAGTCACTGACTTCATGAATTGATTCCCCTTCTTGATTTGTTACACCTTGACTTTCTTTAAATTTGCTCATAGACTAGCAAGCATCATGCGTTGAGGTAGGCAGTGATTGAACATGCATAAAACATATTCTGGCGATATCAATCGATAAAGATTCATCAACTCATCCATCAGATTTTCATCCTTACCCAGCATCATGTATCCAATCTCAGCATTGTTCACTTGATAGTTACAACATACACGAGCAATAGTCTTCAAAAGCATGCCCCTAATATTCTCGATTAAGCCTCAAACTGTTAGAAAGGAGACAATCTAGCCGGTAATGAATTTACATTTTATGGTAAACGTTCATCAGAATTCATGAGAATATCACATCGAAATAATTGCTAACTTAATTTGAAAAACTTCAATTGAATGTTAAAGTGAATGATTATCACATGAATTAACCCATAATTTTTACTTATAGTTACTTTTTATCAGTTTCCTGTTGATGAGGTTATGAATCTTCATCGACTGAGATGGTTGGGCCAAGTGTTACGTATGCCTGAATACCGATTACCACGACGCGCTATGCTGACTAGTTTGGGGGATGGTTGGAAGAAAGTTAGGTGTGGCCAAACCAAAACGTGGCATCAGTCCATAAAGTCACTAACTTCTAGTCCGAGCCATGTTGATAGATGTGGACTACCTGGTTGGGGTTCGCGTGACTATCGTAACCAATGGTTGGAGACTGCGTGACATGGCTCAGAATCAATCACAATGGCATAGGTGTATACACTCCTTATCTTCCCATAAACCTTGAGATTAAAATTGCTTCATAACATTCTTCCTTCCCATACTATATCCTTATATACAACATATCTTTTATATATTATCACCACTAAAGTAACTACTTCTTTGAATTCGGTGTTCATCTTGTTGTGCTGACGAGGTATGGCAACTTGGACCGATGCATAAATGTGTCTGGTCCTACGTTGTAGCTGACTGACTTCTATCAGTTTCGGTCTTTTAGTAAGTTGTGATCTATGATCCCCCAATCCAATGATAATTACTACTAAATATCAGTTATTTATATTAATATATTGTGAAAGTTAGTCTAGCTTGTTAATTCATTGAAATAAGCATCAAGGTCGAATTCATGAGTTGATCTAAGCTAGACAACTATTGAAAACCCGGAATTACTGAATGACCGTTTCGTCCTAGCATGGGACTCCTCAGCAGCGCTCATTCATAATAATAATCTAGTTTAAATCGACTCGTAAATACAATCTCGACAATTACGTATACTAATAACTATCAAGGTGTTTATGAACGACTTTCGAGTGACGCTAAAATGACCTTGAAAATGTTCATCCACTTACTAGGGTTAAATGAGGGTTATAAATTAGTGCGAGGAACTAGGATTAGGGTTTACAATTGAACATGGAGGTCAGAAATTATATTCAATGTCTCCATTACGAACTGACATAAACTATAATGGTGAAATAGTATTTAGCCAAGTGAGTGGATTAATCTCGCACCATAATCTAAGACCTGCTATCTTAAATCTGAGTGGTTCGTCCTTAAGTTATAATCTCACCATTCGCATATTTCTTTGTACTATTATGATCACTATCTTGTCTGAATAAACGTGTACTGTTAATCACAAATGACAGTCTACGTAAATACTTCTCTCTAACTAAAGTGTCAACCGTCTTCATTTCGTTCGATGAATCATTCTCTTTCTCATGTATATATGTATTCGAATCCTACTATTCACCTTTGATTTGCCTTTCTGTGCCCTTATACGATTTAACTATAAATTTCCCTCTTTATTTGCTCGCGCACACATATCCTCATGATGTACTTATAGCTTTGTTCTCCGTACTATCCGCTAATAGACTATAGTCACCACTTCTTATTACCATCTGAAATTAAACACCATTGACGATTTATATAATAACTGTTATCAATGTGATTGATTAATGAAGTAAAGTCACTATTAGACGAATACTTTTGTTTTCTCAGTTGAAATCATAAGTCAATTGACACTAAAACACCATGGAAAACCTGGAAGCATTGAATAGCCGTTTCATCTTATTGTGGAACTCCTCAGAAGTGTGCATCCCACCTTGCGAGATTCGAACCCAGGACCTATCAGTCTCGCGCAAAAGCACTTAACCAATAGACCACTGAGCCGGCCGGCATCCGATGGTGTTAATTTTTAACTTCAACCAATCCATGAAGTATGAGCAACCGTTCACTTTTGTTTTCAACATGAGATATTATTATTCAATATGCAATTTCTAAATTTATACTTACCTATTAACATTATCAAGTAGTCCATAATTCTTTTCTTCATCAAGATCTTGTTTTAACTTAATATTTTCAAGATCTATTTTAGATGTGTTACATATGTTTGTATATGGATTAGTAGTATAAGGCTTTATATGCATAGGTAACTGATTACCATGTTGATTATTTAATGTTTTATGATGAATATATCCAGATGGATTAGGTTGGTAACCTAGCCTTGTTTGTTCACTAGTTACTGTGTTGTCATGGTGATTATTATTATGATTATGATTAGTATTCACCAATAGATTCATCCTTCTTTTATTGATTAAATCATTAGTATGCCAAATTTGAATGGGTGATATTTCCGATGGTATAGTAGATGGTTGTTTGATCATATTGAATGAATGATAGAAAATTTTATCAAAAAATCCTGAATAAATTACAAAATTATTTGGTGAATAAATTGGATTTTTTAAATGATAATGTTTTTGTAAAAATTGTATCATTTTCTTAGAAGGTAAATCAATTGCCAAATAAGAAGGATGAATATTTTCAATCTGAAAGGAGAACAAGTTTGAAAATAAAGAGAGAACTTATATAGTTGAAATCGTGAGTCGGTTGAAAGTAGACCACCATGGAAAACCTCGAAGTATTGGACGGCTATTTCGTCCTATTGTGGGATTCCTCAACAGTGAGCATACACGATCCCGCCTCTTGAGGTCCGTTGTTAGATATTAACTTACTGAACACATTGGTAGACAGTTGCTCAATTCCGTGGATCAATTGAAGTTAGACATTAACACCGTTGGATGTCGGATCAGTGGTTTTGAGGTTAAGCACTCGCGTACGAGACTGATAAGTCCTGGGTTCGTATTTCGCAAGGCGGGATCGTGAATGAGCACTGCTGAAGAGTCCTAAAATAGGACGAAATGGTCGTCCAGTGCTTCCATAGTAATATATTAATAAATAATACGTTTTTTTAAAATTCCATAACTCAATACAGTGTAATAATGAATTGTTCTTGATTTAATGTTTTATTTAAAATAACCTGTACCATGATACATCTCATGACTGAAATCACATTGCTTACATCTAGTGATTTTGTCACCTTTAATTACTCTTCAAGATCAGTCATACGGCAGAAATGGCTATTGCAATCCAGTTTTTCAAGCTTAACCTCCACGTACACAAGATATTATGTCCTGTTTTTCATTATTCCATGATCTTAACCTTCCTTGTCACATTTTGTAATCGTTCGTTTTTTTATATTATTATTCCTACTCCTTTCTAATTATCTTCACAACTAATAATTAGCAATTATTATAACTCTTAACTATTCTTTTTCGTATTGTTTGTTTGAATCTTCCAATTGATGTTTAGTACTGCAGTTGATCAGTCTCACATCGACCGATGTGTATCTTTTGCGGATTGCCTCGATATTGCCTTAAGTTACAATTTCAGTCCTAAATATCGATGGGAAGATATAATCAAACAATACCAACTGAGTTTAAACTTTACCCCATTGCACAAGCTAGTTGCTGTTAGGGCTCAGTAGCTAAGTGGATAACGCGACGGCGTTTGAAGCAAACGTTAATGGGTTCGAGTTCCGGGGTGAACACAAACTGTGTAATGCAGACACATCTAACTGACGAGTCCCAAACAGGATTAAATCCAGCTAAATTATTTGACTAGAGTTTTTTCCGCTTTACGAGACTTCCTGTGTATAGAAAAGATCAGTAATAAGGTAATCTAATCAAATGCACTCATCATTTAGTTCATGCTTAGTATATTCGTGCTTACACGCAAAATGATATCCAATCTATTCAGTATGATCAGTAACTTTTTCATGTCTCAAAGTGTACCTTCAACATATGATTAGCAATAACATGTCTCAGGTACAATACATTTAACATAACCTATGAGTATGGAGATAAACTATAACATGTTTAGGATAATGTGACATATTATTCTAGAGGTTGAAATCAAAGATAACCTCACACCCACTAATTAGCCTGTTAACATTGTTAGTATTAGGTGTGGTCTGCAATTCCATGTTATTCACGACATTTATTTATGAAGTAACAAAATTTAATTCACATTACAGTATCTATGACCCTAATTAGTTTGTTACTAAGGATATTTAAAACCATGTTTACAAAGATGACTTTAGAAAACTTGTAAACAAGTCTGTCACATACATATCAATAAACATACATTTAATTAGATGGATCATAATTTTCATAGTTGAAATCATGAGTCAGTTGAAGCAAGATCACCATGGAAAACCTGGAAGCACTGGATGGCCGTCTCGTCCTATTATGGGACTCCTCACTAGTGACTGACTGTGCTTTCAGGTTTTCCATGGTGGTCTAGATTCAATTGACTCATGATTTCAACTATGAAAATACTGAAATATCCACAAAAAGCCCCTTCGGATCATAATTTGTATACATTAAAAACGTTTAATCAGAATAAAATGTGACATTCTCAGATTTTATAATCTCTCAAAAATATCATGATCACTATTTTTCAATAACTTGAAAAAGCTTGTAAAGCAAAGACAAGTCATAGTTTTTATCTTGATGGAAGGTGATTACATTTGAAAAACAACTTTTCAGAGCACTTAAAATGACTTAAAATAGAATAGATCTATATATGTCTGATGATGTTTACATATACAGTGAAAGCTAATTATTTAGTAAGCCTAAAACTAAGAGCCAAAGCTGACAATAGGCAAAGCGAAACACTGAATACATAACTAAACAACGACAGACTTATTTCATGAAGTACAGTCATTTGACAGGAAAGTTGTGTTGGCTGACAGAAGTGAAATATTAGTTTTTAGGATCTAGGTAAGGAGAAAAGGTGTGTGTATTTCTTCTGGCTTGCACGATTAAAAACTCCTCGAAAATCCATAAGTATGCAATCCCAAATATTTGAAAAACGTTAGTTAGAGCTTTACAGGACACTTTGAAGGACAAATAAGGAAGAGTTAGGTACATCGTTTTAAATATGTTGGAGAATCAAGGTTAAAAAAATACTTCATTCTTCTCAGCAGTCCTCAGGGTGTGTAATACTGACAATTCCATTACACATGCAAAAATACACTAAAGACCTGTGTAATTAAATTAAATGGTAAACATGTACTGATGTGATGCTGTACATCAGCTTATTGATTAGAACCAAAGACTGACTGTGACAACAAGAGATGTTGTAGGGTGTAAGACAAGCTTCAATAATCATAAAGCAAAGGATGCTCACTTAGTTAAATCTTAGCCCTAGTCTTTGGATCTTCCCTGATAGATGAAGAACTATGATAAAAACGGGGAAGTTGTCAGGAGGGAGAGTTTTCAAATACTATAACATTTCGTTATTGCATAATCACAAGCAATCAACATATTATATCCATCATCATCGTGCTGAGAATTCTATATTATAATATTGAATAAAGCCATTAATAATAATAATAATCATTTCTGGTAAAGTGACTCCTAACTACAAGTACAAAGTATCCAAAATCCTAGACCATAGAGCATAGGTTTATAAATAATACGAGTGGATAATGACAATTTGTAGCAGTAAAACTCTCAATGTTTCTGGGTTCTCTGAGCTATATTATTCACTTTCAGGGCTTAAGTTTTCATTTTGCACAACATCACCAGTAGTTACTTCATAATTAGGTGATTTTCGTGATTATACCACAAGTGTTAAATCAGTTCGTTTCAATCTCCTTATTTGAAACTGACTGATCTTGTAGGATTTGTTTTTAATTGTCTTTGTACTCGAAATGACTGATTTCTTTAGTCGATTTCGTAAATCAGCACAACCACATTGCTCCATTGTATTCAACTCAGAGACAACAACTAAGGAACATTAATTCGTTATCGAATAAGTAGTGATTTACATAAACTATTATAAATACTACGTTACATAAAGTGGATGCCCCTATTTCTTTACAAATACACAAACAAAAAGCTATCAATGAAACGCTATACGTTAACAATCATACCAAAAGCATACAGAAAACTATGAACACAAGCTACCATTGTAAAATGTCACACTTCTGGTTTCAGTAAGCTATAATATAATCAGGGAAGTTCTGGAAACAAAACATTCAGATTAGTCATCAACTAACAGATCCATGAAGAGACTCAGTCTATTAATCACTACAAAAGATGTGATCAATAGCACAATCAAAGGTTGAACAAACAAGACATTTACATAAAATCTATGAAAAAGTGAGGAAAACGTAACCTACGAGAACAAGGAAACACAAAAAGAGCAACCAGAACAAATTCACTAAACCGTTTTAGAATAACTAGTAAGGCTGCTTCTATATAACGTAAGCGCTGGTGATGTAATTTAAAATGTAAGGGAATGCTCTGAAATTAAACCATCTATTTCAATAACACTAAAAGCACTCATCTGAGCTCTAACTCCTTTTCAAAGCTACAAAAACCCAACTAGATGGCTACCCTGAGGATCAATCTATTCTAATTTTACCAGCTCTAATCCTACATATTAGGATAAAAAAAATCATGATAATTCATATTAGACATTATATTCATCTTGATGGCAGCAATTTTACCAAATGAACCGACCTATCTACGCCATACATATAAACTGGAAATCGCCAGTTCTTCGCTTCCAATACACACATGTATAACCACGAGAAAATCTCACAAGCAAACTGTTAAAAGCACTAATGTTATTAGGCAAGAATACATATATGAATAGGTAGCTCATAGTAGATTGAAATGCACATAAATGTGTTGATTTATCACAGGGTCACAAATCTTCATGAAGTAAAAACTGGGTAAGAATGGAGATCCCCTTGGTCAAAAGTTTATCCCTCAAGCCGTTTCACCATTTCTCTACGTTGATGAAGAGAACTTTGAGCTCGGTACGAAGAACTACTACATAAAAAGATGAAAATTTTAACGAGAACATAAGTGACAATTAGCACAAATAACATGATTGCACAGAAACAAAGAAACGCCATAAACTGAATGCGATGACACACCGTTAGGATACTTACCTTAAGCATAAAGTCAAATAACTTTTTCCCACAACCTTTTCTTTGATGTGCTTCATGCACGTAGAAATCCAAAACACATAAAGGTACACATTCGACACAAACTCCTCTTCTGTCATGTACAAAAAGACGTTTTCTACCTGTTTTTAAGAAACCTAAAATTCTTAAAGAAAGTTAATGATAAAGTTCATGCACTTTTTTGAAGGAATGTCAGATAGTAAAAAAATTGTCTGGTTCGAATCCCTGAACTTCTTGTAGGATGTCACAGGTCCAGGTAACATTTGAGCCTTTAAAAATGAACTATATGTGCGTTTACCTTTGCCGAGCGTTCACCCAATAAATCCAAAATACTGGCTACATTACTGAATGAGTCAACTTCGATTACATTCCTTGAAAAACTCAATAATATGACAATGTAAGCAATAAATACAACTGATTTCGCTCATTTGATTCCCTGGCTCTTTTTCCATAAATAACCACGATTTCTTGTTTCAAAACCTTTTCTAGGTCATATTCAAAATCCATTACGTTGTCATGATTTCGTATTGCTCTAAGCGTCCTACGCAAGGTAGCATGTATGAGAAGTACACTTTAACAAAGCGTTGGCATGAGCTTCAATAAAGTGAATAGTTTCATTTTCTACCTTTTTGTGGCTGAGATGCAGTTCTGGGTATTCGGTAATGTATAATTAGTGGCAGTCAAGACACTTCGTTGCATTAATTCTCGTCAGTGTGTTAGTTATTTATGGATTTGTACATCTCGTAGTTGAGTGAGTGCGTCTGTCTTATGGAAGTAAGGATTACGGATACCAGCAGTTACCACATTATTGAGCAAGAGGTTAATTGGTTGCAATATGAAAATAACAAAGTAATGATCCAGGTACTGAGAGATGATTGTTTCAAGGATGAGTTTGGTGTTTATATGAACCAATGATTTCTGTTAATGATGACTGTTTTGATTTTGAATTCCAAATACAGTATACTCATTCATGCTCATCTAACACTTCTTGTTTATTTGCGTTATTGCTGGGATTACTAGTTAATACTACAATTCAAAAACTAAATATCACAATGAGTTAATTGATTGGTAATGAGTAAGAAGATAGATTCGAAAAAATAAGTGAGAAAACGGAGATGGCAATAAGAGAGATAGGAACTAGTTACTAGTATGCGATGACGGTAACCGTGGTAAACTACAAGACATGCATCAGACGTAGCTAGTCTGCTCTGAAAGCTAACCAATGGATAGGTTATGGTCACTTCTGCTGAGAGATATTTCAAATGTGGGGAACCCTTAATAAGAAGTGAGAGCTTATCTGGTTGCCTCCTCTTTCATCCTCAGTCTTCTGAGGGTTGTCATGAGGAGCGGAATGATGATTTTCTCGTAAAATACTCGTGTTAAAGCAGCTTGGAGTATTTAGAATGTTTTACGCCATTATTGGATCACCTCTTATTCTCCTGTAGCTCACATTTAACCATATGACATCCAAATCATCTAACACATTATGCTGACAGTCTATAAATAGCCGAAATGGAGTACCAAAAAAGGGCGAGTCGTAGGGAAAAGCAAATATAAAGAGTTGATAAACTATGATTTTTTGTAGTGAAAGAAACTTGGGTATATTAGATTGGTATGTAATGCGTAACTAATCATTTAGCACACTGTTACTCATAGGCTGCAGACATACTTAAGAACAGTAATCAGTGAACAGTTAACCGTAAAAAGTTTCAAATCAACGGACAGAAGGCTAAAATGAATAACCCAAATGGTTTTATGTCATGTTTCTAAAGTATAAGACAAACAATGCACCTTAATACTCGAAAATGTCTGTCTTATCTTTAAGTGGGTTGCTCACACTTTATTCTTACCATGAAAATCTAGTTTTGTTCGCAGTAGGATGCCTTAGTAAAAAAACAAACCTGGAGTTACAACCATGAGTCAAAACAGTGACAGTCAAAGAGATACATATTTTTTAATAATTGATTATTTGTTTCACTCTAACTACAACTGGGAGCCCGAAACAAATAAAACTGTCCTGCTCTGTCTTCCTGAATATTTTGGAGATATCTCACAAGCATCACTATTGCCAGTCTTTCGGGGATGGACAAGAGTGGACAAGAGTGTAGAAATGTGACACGTGATACGTGATGTAACTATAGTTGGTGTCAAGTCGCGACTAACCATGATCACTACTACAGGAACATTACGTGCCAAATATTAGATTGGATCCCTCCGTAAGTCGAAAACTGGAAGGCTATTGACGGTTGCAATAAGATATATTTGTTGGCGATTTCATGGTATCGAAAGAATACCAAGACGTGCTAAAGTTTACGGGCGGAACTACCGAGAATAGGCAACGGAACAAAACGCGTTTTAGGTGTAAGTAAGCAATCAAGTACGGAAAAACAATCACTCGTACAATTGGTTAGAACAGTTGTTTCCATTATACCAATCGCGTTCTCGTTACAGAAGTACGTTACTATATAACAAAATTATGACACTTTGACAGAAAGTATGGCATACGAATTACTTAAAAGAACGAAAACTGATTAGAAACAAACGACAAACATTCGATTACATATTTGTTTCTTGTAATCGACTGCTGATTGGAGTGAATAAAGCATTTACAACCATTCAAATAGCTAGTTATTTGAGAAACACTCGCAAGTGAGCGGCCCAATATAATGACCAAACTAACGCAGTAATATGCCAGTCAGATTCAAACCATAGATTAGAGAAGACAATAGGCTTTTAAATCGAAGCTGCAACATACAAACTCTCAAGCAGACAGTTCTCTATGTAGTGTAGAAACAGTAGAGTATGGAACATGGTCCATGTATGCTATTCAAGGATGGTATGGCATGCAGTAAATAAGTGTAGTACCTCCTGACAGTCGAACGCTTTCCAAGCCACGAGGTCACGTTATCGATGCGCAGAACTTGTGAAACCTTACACTATCAACTTCGATTATCAAATCGTTTTCATCTCACGCTCGTATTATTTTTGGCTGTTTCCAACTCTTTTTTTATAAAACGTCAGTGAATTCTATGTGCTTAATGAGCCGTCATATTAGTTTTTCTCTTGTCCCTCTACCTTATAGGTAATCTAACTTATTGCTCATAACTATCCCCCGGTATACAAGGTTCTTTTGTTCTACATGCAAACCAACAAAAAGCTGAACGTTATTGGCACTCCATAATTAAATGCAGCCCAGTTTCGATAAGTTACATCAAGGATTAATCAAGTTGGCTAACATGAGCTAAACAAGAAACGTTTATTCCCCCCAAGTGAAAGCTAAGAAATCATCACTGAACTCTGAACCACAAAGAAAGTGAGCATCAGTCAAAGCCTGTTAAGGTAAAAGTTACTGAAAATTTTTTGCTTAATACATCAATGAATGGAGCGCTTGAAATTTCTTGACCATGTCGCCTCATTTCATTCACCTCAATGGACATGACTACCATCTCTCTCGAAACTTTGAATTAACGATGTATTTAACGGTCCACTAAACTGGCAATATTTTTAGTCTTAGATTTTACAACTTTATCAAGCATCCCATCAAACAACTTACAAAATTAACACCGTCGCTGTGATGCATATATCTTTGAGTATTTTCAAGCTGATGATGTATGGTAACACAATTGACTTCAAACAAACATGACAACTAATATCCTGCAGCGACAGACTCTAATGTTTTGCTGTTTACCTGAATGAGCGGTCAGATGGTACAAATCAACACGTCTTCAAGTATTTTCACATTATCTGTCTTTCTCACTAAGCACTAACTGCATACTGACGGGATTGTCGCTGAAAACGATATCAAAATTGGTCTTAGTCTCTGTTTTGTAATTATTTACAACTTTAAACTGCGTAGTGGCGGGATAAAACAGTAAACCACGACACATGGTGTATTTCGTTCACTGTCGCAATCCCTCTTATCCTGTAATACTGCCATTTCAGTGTGCAGGGCGGAAAAGAATTAAAGGTCGTTCACAAGCTCATTGTAAAGTTAGGTAGTAACACATCTTACAATCAGTCAGAACCAAACAACTTAAAAATCTTGGTATAAATTTCTTTCAATGGTTTTCTATACGTTATAATTTTTCATAGTAATAACCACAAATTTAAAGTGAATATTAAAAAAAAACTCTCTACGAGCATATTTAATGTGACACAAATCGACAGATAAGGTGAAAAGCGAAAGTTTCAAGTTTCATTCTTGACAAGTGATTCACATGCTCATAAAAAACATTCATATAGCATGGTTGATCAAAGTTAAACTTTATAGTCTCACACCTGAAAAGTGATTCACATGCCCTCTTAAATACGTTCAAAATTTATGGTTAAACACAGCTATACATTATAGTTAAACAATCACATTTTCAAGAGAAATAGAGATAATCTAGACTTCCATATGACAATCCAAACTGTACAGTTTAATCCCGTTTAACAAGAGAGCCAGACATCGCCCTCACGCTTAACCCGAGTAGTATAGCTCAATCCTGCTGCCCGACAGGAGAATCAGACACTATACAGGCCCACAAGGGTATATTATATAACTATAATGTATAACTGTGATCAACCATACAATATGAAAGTATTTCAAGAGGCATCTGAATCACTTGTCAGAAATCAGTCTTGAAAATATTATTTCACTGTTCATAACTTTTGAATGAATTAATATTTTTCAATGTGGTTTCCATTTTGTTACTTATCTAATCAAGTGCTATTTAATGATGTATAACATGTACATGTACATTGAAACTTAATTTTTACTATTTACACCTGCTCTTACTCGCCATGTTATATAGGGGTACTACCCCTAACTCAAGGTCTGGAAAGTCGGAAACATGAAAATTTCGCAAATGTCATGAAAATGATCTTGGTGGTCTTGTATTAGTATTCCGACACCAGACAATGGGTTTTAAGCGTTCTTACGCCCTAACGCTGCTTCAGGCTGCCTGGCTATTTCACTTACTAACCTACATTTGTGTTGTATGTAGTATAAGCTATATTGCCATGTGCAGCTGAAGGTCTTATGTGAGACTGCAGGTTGGCCATTGACATTGTTGATGGTTCGGCATCACTGTTCAGGAGAACCAGACACCATCTAGACTTCCATATGACAATCCAAACTGTACAGTTTAATCCCGTTTAACAAGAGAGCCAGACATCGCCCTCACGCTTAACCCGAGTAGTATAGCTCAATCCTGCTGCCCGACAGGAGAATCAGACACTATACAGGCCCACAAGGATATATTATATAACTATAATGTATAACTGTGATCAACCATACAATATGAAAATATTTTAAGAGGCATCTGAATCACTTGTCAGAAATCAGTCTTGAAAATATTATTTCACTGTTCATAACTTTTGAATGAATTAATATTTTTCAATGTGGTTTCCATTTTGTTACTTATCTAATCAAGTGCTATTTAATGATGTATAACATGTACATGTACATTGAAACTTAATTTTTACTATTTACACCTGCTCTTACTCGCCATGTTATATAGGGGTACTACCCCTAACTCAAGGTCTGGAAAGTCGGAAACATGAAAATTTCGCAAATGTCATGAAAATGATCTTGGTGGTCTTGTATTAGTATTCCGACACCAGACAATGGGTTTTAAGCGTTCTTACGCCCTAACGCTGCTTCAGGCTGCCTGGCTATTTCACTTACTATCCTACATTTGTGTTGTATGTAGTATAAGCTATATTGCCATGTGCAGCTGAAGGTCTTATGTGAGACTGCAGGTTGGCCATTGACATTGTTGATGGTTCGGCATCACTGTTCAGGAGAACCAGACACCATCTAGACTTCCATATGACAATCCAAACTGTACAGTTTAATCCCGTTTAACAAGAGAGCCAGATATCGCCC